TCAATGTATTGAACAGTAAACCCCTAAAACAGCAGGACAATCAGCAAAGCCATAAATTATTATATTAATACATGTCCCTCTAGTGAGGTCTTAGCTTCTTTTCTCGATGAATATCTATTTGTGCATTCAACTTATTGTATTATATGATCACATAAATCTCTTGCATGCATTCTGATGCTTAACAGCCCTTTATTTGGTTAATTATGTTGGATTAATTACTGGTTATTCTTGTTGATATGCACATTAATGTATATTCCAACATATGTATCTTGATATGTTCATGTATGTGGAGATTTTTTTTGATAGAATTTGGAGGTCTCATTAAAAGCTCCCTTCGTATTCTTCCACATACTTAGAAGTATGTTGAAGAACATTGGAAGGGAGAAAAGAGTACCTCATATTTTATTAAATATAATACCAAGTCCATGAGGAATCACCAAACCCACATACGATAATAAACACCAATACAAACCATATCACCTAGAAATCTTACATCGTCAAACAAAAAGCCCCTAAACCAATTAGAATACACCTCAAGATGTAAGATAACATAGCAAAAAAAAAACCAACAATTACAACCACAAACTTAAAAATGCCTCTTAATACAGCTGCCGAACAATCACAATCCAATTGGAGGATCAAGTTCTAAAGAAATATTGCAATCTTCAGGAACCCAAGAATTAGGTTTGAAGGAAGGATCAACTTCATGCACCAAGATTTTGAATAAATGATCCCCGACCTTCAACTCAAACAACTCATTAATTCTCCCTTGAGCATTTGTGAGTATTTGGATTTTCGCCCGATCAAAAGACGAAGGGAACTCACAACTGTTATCAATTGCTATTAACTTGCCCCACTTAGTAGCTATGTTTTTGAAAGTATCCCAATTCCAAGCGTGAAAAGGAATACCTTCGCAAACTAGCCAAACGCGTCGGCTCTCCACCATTAGGCTCTCAGACCAAGTTTCCACTCTGGAAAACCATTATGCAAGAGTCTCTAACTTATCATCCTTCACGCTTCTCAACGAATTAGAATCTTCAAAAACCATTAGAACTACATTTCCAGCAGCTCTCATAAGCGTGAAACCCGCTAGTCCTTTGGCTTGTATTTGGTTAGCAAGATTTTCAATCTTGATAAAGTTCTTGCACCACCCCACAAGACAATTACTTAACACGTGAAGCTTCTCTTCGTCCACAACTCCCTCAACTTCACAGTGTTTAATCCTCATAACCTCTTCCCTCCCAGACTTACGTTGAACAACCTTCGAGGACTTTCGCCAGTAAGACTGTCGGGGTTTATATTTAGCCAAAGAGACTCTAATTCTGCTGTCGTAAATAGTTGAGCATCTCTTGAAGTGTATAAAAATGGTAAATAGTCTACCATCTTGAAGTGTATTTTCCAATGGGCTTCAGTTATGGATGATGACAAAAACATGTTCATCAATTTAGTGCAGTTTTCTGACTGATTATTTTTGTGTTCTTTTTCCAGGCTTTAGAAGTGATTGAGCTTGATCAAAAAATACGACTTGTTGAGGAGCTTGACGGTCATGTTATGAAATGTGTGCGTGACCAAAATGGGAATCATGTGATACAGAAGTGTATAGAGTGGATCCCTATGGATAGAATTGGGTTTATTATTTCGGCCTTTTGTGGTCAAGTTGCCATGCTTTCTACTCATCCCTATGGTTGCCGTGTCATTCAGGTAATAATACATTTTGTTGGTCTCTACAAGATTCTGGCCGAACATGGTCTTATTTTATACAACTGTTACACCATGTTCTTATCGTTTGCTGTTCTTTCAAAATTTATGATAGAGAATTTTGGAGCATTCTTCAAACGAACTGCAAAGTCAATGCATCATTGATGAAATTCTGGATGCTGCTTATGACCTTTCTCAAGATCAGTATGGAAACTATGTTACACAGGTTCACTTTTAATTTCTGATTCAGTTTATTGGTGGCTGATTGAACCATTTCTATTAATTCTGTATTTGCTTCTCAAAGTTTAGCACCGTCTTTAGAGAGCCTAGAGCAGCTTATTTGTGTTGCCAATTTGTTGACCTGCTGTCTAGTGATTGTGAGTGACTATGTTACTTGGACTAGGACGTGAGTGTTGGATATGAGTATATATCTGACTCTGGTATATTCAATTTTCTCTAAGTCTTTCCATGTATTTGGAGGGTCATATTTTCTATACCCATGTCTGGATATGTGTCTAACTTGGGTGTCGGGCATGGTGTTTTAAAAAATGAAGAGTTGGAGCAACGGAGGTGCATGGCATGTCTGTTAGTGCTTTCTTATTCCTTTTTCTTTTTAGCTTCTTTTGTTAGTTTACATTTTCTATTACTGATATATTGGTAGTTATATTCTGTGGAAGTTGGTGGTAGTGGAAATTTATCCTTGTCGATAATATTGACTATAGGGAAACTCGATAAAATCAAGGTCTCTTCGTTGGTTCCTGATTATTTTTCTTTTGTACCTTTTAACTTAGTTTCTAATCTCTTGATTGACATCAATTTTCTGTTGCATTTTACTACTCACAGCATGTTTTGGAGAGGGGAAAGCCACAAGAAAGAGGCCACATTATTAGCAAGTTGACTGGGAAAATTGTACAGATGAGTCAACATAAATATGCGTCAAATGTTGTTGAGAAGTGCTTGGAGTATGGCGATAGTGCTGAACGTGAGTGTTTGGTTGAGGAGATCATCGGACAATCTGATGAAAATGACTCTTTATTGGTGAGTCGAGTAAAAAGTATTTATCACAACCAATTATATTGTTAGCTTCAGTGCTCGGCAAGAACTCTTCTCTTATTGGGTTTTTCTTCTCTTTGAACTGCTGAATAATTAGTTTCTCTGAGTTTTTCCAATATTAGCCATTTTCTTTTTTCAGTTTAAACCTTAGTGCTTCCACCTTTATATAATTTTGAAGATCGAACCAACTTCTTATGAAACAATAAATGAATAGCTTTGTTTGGATAACCAAATTACGCAGGGATGAAAATAATAACTTCTGTAAGTGTATTTAGTTTTTGCGTGTTGTGGAAGTTTTGATCATTGTATAAATTGTTGGCACTCGCCGGATATTTGGGCTTTCTACAAATATGGTAAACTCAAGTTTGTTTCATCGTCTTTCTTCACTTCTGTATTTCTCTTCCCTCTTTGTGCCATAAAACTACATTCCTTTGTTCCTCGGGGATCCACGGATCACAATGTGCTTTTAGATTAAACTTTTTTCTGGTGGCAGGTTGTCAAACAAATAATCGCTCTTGTTTGTTCTTCCCAAAATTTTTATTTTCGGTGTTTATATAATGCATTGCATACATTATGAACCATCGAGGGAACATGAATGTTTATGTTGTGTGATTGACGTATCCAAATACACTTGGAATTTTACATCTTTACTTTCTTTTCCTTCAGTTTGTCCCTAATATGAAACTTTATGGACTTGTTATAGAGATTATGATGCCTTACTAGCTTGAAGATTTGATTTTTGTTTCTTGTTCTCTGATGTTTCTTTTGCTCACAATTTCTTGTTCGGACTTTCCTATGGTAGACGATGATGAAGGACCAATTTGCAAATTATGTGGTCCAGAAGGTTCTTGAAGTAAGCAATGATAGACAACGAGAACTATTGCTGGATCGCATTAGAGTTCATCTCAATGCTTTGAAGAAATATACTTACGGGAAACACATTGCTGCTCGGTTTGAACTAGTGCTCGGTGAAGGTGCGTGAATTTTCTATTCAATCACGCGCATGTCTCGTGTTTTGCGTGCCTTGGTCTATCGGAGTTCATGTCATTAGGATTCTAAGGGAAATATAATTGTTTATTTCGGTAGCCAAACAGTCTTTTGTATTTGCCGTATTTCCATTTTGCTGATTTAGTCCAACATAATTGAATACTCGATCGATTATGCAGAAAGTGATGCCTCGGCCTCGGGGAATTAGCAATCAGCGGAGAAGGCGTGACTCGGAAAAGCTCTTTATCATTGTTAGGAAAACAACAGCCTGGAACTGTTGCAGGGCTGCTTGATAAATAGCTAAAATGTTGGGGAATAAATTATTACTGTATGTTTTAAACAGTTAATGTATATCTATGTATAGAACCAAACTACTTAAAGCTTGCAGTGATTGCTTTGAAATTTATTGAAATTTGACAATTGCTTGCAGTTTCTCCTTATGCATGTATGTATGCATGGTGAACAAATGATGCATGTCTACACGTATGTATGGATTAAACTGTTTATGTATATATTCCCGAATCAAGACAAGAAGTTCATCCTTGTTCTTTACATCATGCTTAGCCCTGCAAGGATAACATGAACAAAATTGCAATCCTTTAAACTAACCAATGCTGGCAATGCTTATTACAAGTTTGGAGAATCGACCAAGTAATGTCACCTCGTAAGAGAGAATTTACTTTAGGATTTTTCCTAAAGCCCTCGAAGACATCACTGTTGATGTTGACATCAGCATAACATGCTTCATTGATCTGTTCTGCCCATGATCTTGTATTATTTCAAATTTTGGCTTAATAAGGTATTAAGTCTATTATTTCATAACCAGTTTTTTCTCAAACTTGTTGATCTTTTATCACCAGATAGTAACCTGGGTAGGCTTAATAAGGTATTAACTCTTGTAATACCTTCCAAGGCTGAACACTCTTCATCTTCTGCAACTGAAATGCACTGGGCAAGACTCCTCCTTGACTGCCCTGCCGACTTCCAAGACAACCTTTCTTCCGACTCTTCTGTTACAGGAACGATTTCCATACAACCATGAAATGCGTCTGATTCACCCTGAGAATCTCCTTTATTATCAGCCACCATCGTTTCTCCAGATTCCTTGGGACTCCTTGTTATGTTGTTTTCTTCTGCAAATCCATTAATTGCAGGCAAATATTCCAGAAAGAGGCATACAACAGCACAATCATCATTCTTGGAAGTAGGGTACTTGAGCCTCCATGCTCGAGTTGCGCAATCTACAAGAGCTTTAGCAGCTGTTGAGCGACTAGGGGCTGACGCCACAATATCAATGGCTTCCTTATTTGAAAGGACGTCCCAAACCTGCCCAAGATTAAAACTGAGCCCTCGGAGAATTTATATGAACTTCAAAGGAAAAAATCTAGATATATATTTGCTAAAATAAAGGCAGAAGGAAGGGCATTTATAAATGTACTTCTCTATAGGCTACAATGAACAGGGTGAAAGACAAGGGTCCCTTGCAGCCATGTTTCGGAGTCCTAAACAAAATTTTCAAACTAGATTGATTTACTATGAAGATGAAGATACCCCGTCAGTAGCAAGAATAACAAATTCGTCTCTTTCAGTAAGGCGGCGATAGAAAACATCTGGCACAGAAATCAAACCAAAATCGGCTTTGAATAGAAAACATATTTTATTGATTGTTTATATATTTTGATTGAACCATCATGCAGATTGTGCTAGAGTCTATTGGGGTTTCAATCTGGCAGTTGGCTGTGGCATCAGTTCTTAAACAGCCAGCTCCTGACGAGCCTAGGTCTCAGCATTTTGGAAATGGACATTTAAATGATGAACATGAATATAATGAGAGTGATGATGCGGAGAACTCTGAAGATGAAGATGCTTCAGACTCGGAACAAGTTCATCAGAAACAAGTCATAGATGATAGACGTGTAGCACTTGCCTGTGATGATGGTGCTCTGCGGTTATATACTATTTCTAGTTTGGATAAGTTCATGTACCATAAATCAATGCCTCGGGTCAGTGGTGAGATATCTACACCTTAGAAGCTATTCTTGCTAGTTTGTTGCTTTGCTTTTATGTTTACTCTGAGCTTCTTGGTGCTAACTTATTTGCAGGGCGTGCTCTAAGTGTGACCTGGAGCCATGACTCAACTAGGATTTATTCAGGGAGTAGTGATGGGTAAGTTTTTCATTAATGATTAAAGTGAATAACATGTAATAAAATTTAAGTTTTCAGGCAACAAAACTGTTGATGCTTGCTGTACTTTTGATATTTCTGTGCATACTTGTGTCTTTGATTTCATCCTCTAAATGTTCTAAGTGCCTGGAGGCATGAACCAAATAGGACATATTCAGGGAGTAGTGGCGGGTAATTTTGTCATTAAAATGGATACCATAATATGTATGCATACCTTACTTTGATATTTCCATTCATACCTGTATAATTATATTCATCCTATTGAACCGTGACTCAAATAGAATGTCTTCATGAAGTAATTGTGGATAAGTTTGTCATTAAAGTGAATACCATATGATGCATGTTAGCAAATATGTTAATGCATGCTGTACCTGTGATATGTCCATTATTGCTTATATCATTTTTTTCTTTTTGGATTTATACGTATCACTAATTTAATTTTACTGGACTTGTGTGAGATGATGTCACATGTTTTACAGATTGTTTGCACTTCTTTCATCCAATTTAATCTCATTTATTGTGCACTATTCATGTTGTAGGCTGATTAGATGCTGGAATGCAGATTCTGGTCATGAAATTTTCAGAAGTACTGTTGCTCTTGGAGGTTTGGGGAGTGGGCCTGAGCTTTGCATATGGTCACTACTTTCTTTGAGGTACATGTGAAATCTTCTATGTCATCAGAGACATGCATGTGCACACGAACGTATACATATGCTTAATATGTTGGAATGTCAGTGATTGCTGTACTATAATTATCAATGTGCCACCTTTTGATGATTAGGTTATTCTCACATTCAGGTGTGGAACTGTTGTTAGTGCGGACAGCACCGGCTCTGTTCAGTTCTGGAATGGTGATAATGGAACTCTTCTCCAGGCACATTTGAACCACAAAGGTGATGTGAATTCCTTGGCAGCAGCTCCAAATCAGAACAAGGTTTTCTCTGCTGGGTCTGATGGACAGGTATGGATCTGTTGTCAAGGCATGCACCTACAGGCCTGAACTTTTCACTTTATTGCTAGATAACAAAAACATCTGAAATTTATGCCTTGCACCTGAAATTTAAATTTCTTGTTCCTAAAGTTTGACACCATTGGTATTGACAGTTAGAGGGGGAGGGAGCTGTGGTATTGCCACTCTTTGGGTCTAAGAAAAAGTAAAATGTTTTAAAAAAATGGATAACAATTATAATTGTATAGTTTTCATTTTTCAACTGTAAAATCTTTTTATGAAATTGTCACTCTTTGGGTCTAAGAAAAGTAAAAATGTTTTAAAAAATTGTAAAACAAGTATAGTTGTATAGTTTTCATTTTTCAACTGTAAAATCTTTTTATGAAATTGCCTGTCAATTAAATATAACCAGTTTCTGTCTCTAATGTCTACTGTGTTGTTACATTTTCTAGGTTATTCTTTATAAGCTTTGTACTGAGAAGCTGCAGTCTTGTGATGACAAGTCTTCTTCAGAAATGATGAAGAAATGGGTATATGTTGGTTATGTAAGAGCTCACTCCCATGATGTCAGAGCCTTGACAATGGCAATGCCGATCAGTTCTGAAGGTCTGTTAATGTTTTTGGTTCCACGCCTGTTTATTATTTTATTTATTTCATTAAAATATAAAGTTGCATTTATACATTTTAAACACAATTTCTGCGCTTTCTGATTTTTTGAAATTTTCTTTCTAATTTTTAGGTTCTTTACCTGACAAGGCAAACGATTTAAGAGACGAACAGCGGAAAAAGGTAAAAAGAATTCGTAGAGAGAAGAAGCCCCTTGATTTCAGCTATGGTAAATGGGCCCGTTTTGGAGTTCCTATGCTTGTCTCTGCTGGTGATGATGCGAAGCTCTTTGCATACTCTGGTCAGGAGTTTAGTAGGTTCTCCCCACATGATATTTTCCCTGCACCTCGGAGAGTTCCCATGCAGCTGGTCATTAATACAAGTTTCAGTCAAACTTCTTTTCTCCTGGTCCAGGCATGTTATTTGTTAGATGTGCTCTGTGTTCGTGTTCCTGATGTGGGTTCTGGCTCTTATGGTGGTCTTGCAACCACTAATTTAGTGGCTCGAGTTAAGAGTAAGGCATCTCGAAAGATCATTTGCAGCGCAATGTCTAACTCTGGCGAGTTTTTTGGTTATTCTGACCAAATCAGGCCCAGGTTATTTGCACTAAGTAGGCAAGCTGGCCAAAGTACATGGACCATTAGTAAAAGGCAACTCCCGAAGGATCTTCCATCTGCACATTCTATGGCTTTTACCTCTGATGGGGTACGGTTGCTGATAGCAGGGCATGATAGAATGATCTATGTAGGTCTCTTTTCTTCACTTTCTTGCAGTTTCTGTAGTGTGAACCTTTGCCGTGAAGTACATAATCCATGCTATTGTTTGCTTTAGGTGAGTGGAGTTAGTAGTTTCATGCTCTGAAATAATTTTTTGGCTTCTGAGATCTTTCACCTCTTTTATCATGGCTTACTCAAGATTAAGTGTATACCTCGAAGGCTCAAACTAGAAAAGTCATATTTCACCTCCAGAAACATTATGTTGAATATTCCAGCATCTCTGTTGGCTTTATTACATCTTAGCAACTCTGCATATTTATAAATGAGTATTCGACCAAATATAAATATATATGTTCATGTGTATTCAACTCTAGTGCACTTGTTTCTTGTTACATCTGGATGTATGGAGATGCAAACAAGGAAAAGAGTTGTCCATATCAAAGTATATAAGCTCTTCTAACCTCCATAAACCTCACTTCCATTTAATTATTTAAATTAAATGATGAACTACAGAATACAGGAGTCAACAGAATGCATTTTTTTGGTGAGTGGAACAATGTAACTTATTTTTCTTCTTTGTGCTGCAGGTTGTAGATTTGGGGAACTTGAAACTACTGCATACCTTTGTACTTTGTCGTGGGGGGGAATGATAAGGATAGATCACTTGGTGAGCCTCCAATAACAAAAATGTTCACGAGCTCTGATGACCAGTGGTTAGCGGCTATCAATTGCTTTGGAGATATATACATATTCAGTCTGGAGACACAAAGGTAAGACATTAAGTTAAACACAATTCTTAAATTGATGTTTCCCTAGTTTAGCTTTATTGTTGAGATTGGAAAAGGCTCGACTTATGAAAAGTGTGACATTACAGTGAGAAGTGTGGATAAAATTTGTGTTTAGCTGCTATGATAAATTAGAAAGTCCAAAAGATATGAATAGAATCATATAGACTGATTTTCTTTTTCAAAACACAGCATTCCATCATCAGGTGCTCTTGTGTTGCTGCCCTAAATCTGGGCTTTTTGGCTCAAAAGCCAAAAAGTTCCATGTTTGGCATTGAAATGTCTTGGAATGGAGGTTTTAGGACAAAAGCCTTTTTCAACCTCAATGCCAAACATTTTGTGTTTAGTTGACACTTGGCAGTACATGTTCCATCTGAATCTTTTATATGACCATGTATATGAGATGGAGGCTGCAAGCTGGTTATACATATATATATTAGTTAGTCTAGTTTCTTTCTGGAGGCTGCAAGATGGTTATATACATATATATATATATATTGATTAGTCTAGTTTCTTTCTGCAGGCAACACTGGTTTATCTCAAGATTGGATGGCGCCTCTGTTACTGCTGGTGGCTTTCCTCAGGACAGAAATGTGCTTGTTATCACAACATCATCAAACGAGTTCTACATATTTGATGTGGAAGCTTGACGATTGGGAGAATGGTCAATGCAGCATTCGCTCACACTTCCCAGAAGATACCAAGAATTTCCTGGGGAGGTTATTGGGTTGTCTTTCTGCCCTTCATCATCATCAAAATCTTCTTCGGTGGTGGTTTACAGTTCCAGGTGCTGTTCTTATCCTGTTCGTTTTAGCATGCTGCATGATTGATCGCGTCGCTTTTTCCCCTTTTCTCTAGTTCGACTGTTTTTCAATTTGAAAGCTGTTTGTTGGCTTCAAATGCATGCGTTTCTCCTTGAGCATTTATATTTGTGGATGATATCTTTTAAAACTGCAGCGCAATGTGTTCAATCGACTTTGGGAAGCCAGTAGACAAAGATGATCAAAGACGATGAAAGCGAGTTGGTAAATGGGGCATTGTTGAAGTTTCATTGTTGAAGTTTCAAGGTTCTCTCACCAATATGAAATGGAAGCATTGGTTGAGAGAGAACTGTCAAAGTCGAAAAAGCAATTTCGATATAGTAGTTTTCCGAGACCCCGTTTTATTTATTGGATACCTTTCTAAACATTCCATCTTGATAGTAGGCAGACCATGGATGGATGTGATTAAAGCATTTGATTCTGCACCTGTTCAGAGACAAATTTTTGGGACATAGGTGCCTTGTGGAACAAAGTTCTGTCATCAATGCTCTTGGCTACGGGAGGATTCAGAAAGCGCTGCATCCCTCCCTACTTAACAAACTTTTATTTCGAAAAGGACTGGGCGGCGGTTGGC